CCAAGCTATGCAGCTGGGAGGATGACGGGGCCTTTGCCGGAAAGAGAGAGAAGGGAGAGAAACTGACAGCTTTTGGAACCTTTGATTGCGACATGGCCCACCGCCGGCAGACGAAGGAGGAGCCGGTGCTTAGGGACTTGAGGGAGTCATGTGGAAGTCATTGTCAGGGAAAGACCCGGCCTGGAAGAGAGCCCAGCTCGGTCAGGTCCTCACGCCCCTCCCCCCTCCCTCCCTGCCTCGGGCCTGCCTCACCTCCCCCGCCCCCGCACAGGGATCCAGACTTGAGGCCCACAAGGGCCACCCCGTTCCTCCCGCCACGCGTGGGGGGGCACGTACCCCCCTTTCTCCATCTCCAACACCCCCTCGAGTCCAGGCCCTTGTCATCTCCCCCCCCAGTGACTCAGTTCCCCCTGCCACCTTCCACTCTGCTCCTTTCCACTGTGCCCTCCACACAGCAGCTGAACAAGCTCTTAAAAAGGGAAGTCAGAACATGTGTTTCCCCGCTTTAAAATCCCCCAGCAGTTTTCCACCCCCCTCCGTGGCCTGGCCCCTGCCCATCTCGCTGACCGCTTCTCTGGCACTGTCCACCCCTCTGGCCCAGCCTAGGGACTCCGCGGCCTCCTGGCAACCCCTAGAACGTGGGCGCCACTCCTGCCTGCCCTGGGGCGTTGTGCTGCACCACCCAGACAGTTGCACTGCTAGCTCGCTCATCTTTCCTTTCCCAGCTTGACTGTTGCCCTCAGAGGAGGGGCCTTCCCCGACCACCCTGTCTACAGTAAGACGTCTCCCTCCCCACGACTCTCTTCCATCCCAGCTGTGAGTAACTGCTTGCTCCTTGATTGATGGTTTTCCCATTTGGTGTCTGTGGGCTGCTCCTCTCCCTACATTAGCGGGGACCGGTCGCCCTTGCTCTCTGCTGTCTGCGCCCTGTCCAGCATGTGCAGTAAATATTCGCTGAGTAAAGCAAGTGAAAGAGAAAGCCCTTGTTTACTGCCGCTTCTCAGCACACAGTCCCTGCCCTCGTGGATCTTGACCTTTGTTGGGGGAAGAAACACACATAACAGGCATCCAGTAAGAGAAGACAGAACATTTATCAGTCCCTGCCAGATGTGGACAGCCATCTTCTGGCAGCTGTGAGGGGTGCCCGGCTGAATTTGGGAAGAAACGACAGTTACTAAACACCTTCCACCCACCAGGCCCCCGAGAGTCTTAACGCTTATTATCTTGTTTCTTTTTTTTTTTTTTTTTTGTGAGGAAGATCAGCCCTGAACTAACATCCTCAGCTATCTTCCTCTTTTTGCTGAAGAAGATTGGCCCTGGGCTAACATCCATGCCCATCTTCCTCTACTTTATATGGGAAGCTGCCACAGCATGGCTTGACAAGTGGTGTGTGTTTGTGCGCGCCTGGGATCCAAACCTGTGAACCCCGGGCCACCGAGGTGGAGCGCGCGCACTTAACCGCTATGCCACTGGGTCGGCCCCCTTGTTATCTTGTTTTATGTCACTTAGTCTCACACAGTCCTGCAGGCGTAAGTCCTGTTACCACCATTTTCTAGATGAGTGTCTGGCCGCACACCCAGTGTGCAAGCAGTGCAGGATATGTAGTGGAGCGACCAAAGAAAAGACCCAGAGACAGCATACAAGACGTAAGGGTTTATTGGGATTTACTTACGGGGAGTGTCTAGGGGTGCCGGCTAGACGGAGCTGCGCACCACTACCGCGGGCAGGGAGGGGGCTGCTTATGTAGGCAGGGGCCACAGAGGCTATGTGCTTGCCAAGAGGGGCTGTCCCTGGCACGACAGGGTTTCCGGGAACAGTACCTTACGCGGAGGGGCTCTGTGTTCCTTTAAGACATGATGTTCTTTGAGTGAGATAAGGTAAGATCTGGGCTGGCCAGGCCCCGGATTGTTACAAATCCCAGCAGCTGGGCGTCCTGCCCAGACGGTTGGCGTCCTGCCCAGAAGGGGGCCAGAAGGAGACATGGCTGTTAAAGGGCATGCAGGCTAGTGCCCCTATAATGAGGAACCCGATCTTGCCCACGGTCTCAGAGCTGGGATGGGCCACGCCGTGACTGGAACCCAGAGCTTTCTCTTGCCTGAGCCCCTGCACTTTCCATAAGCCTAATAGGAAGAAATGAAGTCAGAACAGGACTCTGAGCACGGATGCGAGGTGGTGTCGGGCACAGGGAAAGGGTGATTTATTTATTGCTTTTTAACTTTGCATTTTGAAATAATTTCAGACTTGCAAAAATAGTACACAGAATTCCCATATACCCCCACGCAGCTCCCCCAAATGTTAGCATCTTTTGTGACCATAGTGCAATTCTCAAAACCAAGAAATTAACCTCATTACAAACTATTAACCACTCTCCAGACCTGATTGAGATTTCGCCACTTGTCCCACTAATGATCTTTTTCTGGTCTCGAATCCAATCCAGGATATTTCCGTCGTCCCCCCGCCCCATCCGCCTGGCACCTCTGCAGGGCCAGCTCTTTGTTATGACAACAGCACAGCAGAGGCAGTCGGCAGCTCCCTCCAGCTGCTCCTTCCCTGCGGGATTTTGCGCTTCTTGATTGCCTATTCTTGGCCAGCCTTCCCCAGATTCTCACACTCCGTTCCCTGACTTCTTGGAAATGTCACTTCCTCACAGAGGCCTTCCCGGGATGACTCCCATATCTAAAATAGTAGCTCCTGTCACTTAAGAATATAAGTCGCCAGAGGGCGGCGCCTGTGTTAATAGCCAGGCCTCATGAAATGTTGTTGAATGACTTAAAGTAGGAAGTGGCTTGAAACTGACTTAAAAATAAAACGAAAAGAGGGCCTATGAAAAATGGACGTGAAGACACATAAAGGATGCAGAAACGCCCATAGTGTGTCCAAATTCTCAATGGATACAAGTGCGTGGGCACACACAGAACAGGGATTGTAATGATTAAACTGTAGCTAAATCATTCCACCAAATTGTCATGGAAACCTGCTTGGTTTTGATTGACTGTTTACAGTCAAATCAGCCAGCTCTTCCCAAAGGGGCTTGAAGAGCAGCCGCCCTGCACCCCCGCTCCCCAACATACAGTAAATCCCAGCAGAGGTTTAGGGTCCCTCATGTACCCTCTAGCCTAGACTTTTCTGTCTCCAATTTAATCAGCCAGAATCCGCCCCCTTTGCTGACTGACTGCTGTCTAACTCGAAGCATTGACACCCTCTAGCCCCACCCTAGCCTCAGTCTCTGAGAGGCCGGGGCCTGAGACAGCTCCTTCCGGTGCTGGCAGGGCTGGCTACATACTTTGTAGGGCCCAGTGTAAAAAGAAATTTGGAGCCTCTTGTTCAAAAAGCAGGAAAAAAGGGCCATTAAAGTTACTAAAATATAAAGTTTTTCCTTTCTTCTACAATCTCTCTTTTGATTTTTCATGATGTTTTTCATTTGCTACTTAATGTCGTTCTAAGAAAAATTTAAAATCTAAATTATTAGCGTGAATTTTGCCATTCATTTTTATGCTGTGCGATGCAAGTTTTAAATGCAAATGTAAGAACATTTAAGTCATATGTGGAATCACTAAAACTCCGCAACTCCCATTTCTTAGCTTGCACATGGATATGTGTTTTGTTCTTACCAGAACGGTGGAAATGCCACACAAAACCAACTCAGCTGTTTTCATTCCACTTCTTAACACGCGCGCATCCTACCAGCTGTCTCTCCCTTCCGTGTACTGATGAGCGAGGAGGGACTGAGGAAAGGACGGGTCGGTCACCCTCGTTCTCTTTCCTTCTGTAGCATCGTGTGCAGCAAGGATGATTGGACCACACAGGGAAGTAACAGTAAGAAGGGAGGTGGTGGGTCCTTGGTCATGTGTGTTTCTTAGAACATTGCTGCCTTCTTTATGCCTTTGAAGCAAATTCTGGATTGAACCAAAAGCATGGCCTCTCAGGCTAGTCAGTGCCCCCCTCACTCAGTCGTAAACATCCACTCACCTTGTACTCACTTTGAGCCTTGACTTCCCACGCGTAGTGGGTCCGCCAGAATTCTGTGCTTGTGGGCCATTGCAAATGTGATATGTATATGGGGCAGCAAGGAACGGAGCATCCGCATACCGTGTGTCTCCCTCTGCTTGGGAGCCTGTCCTGTTGTCTCATCAGACTTCACTTACAAAACACAGGTTCAAAGGTGAAGTCATTAAGAATTTCAAGATGGCGACAGCAGAGCATTAAACCAAGTGTGGGGCCCTGTGTGACCGCACAGGTCGCCCGCCTGTGCAGCTGGCCGTGTGTGCTGGCATCCTGTGTTTGGAGGACTCTGTCACTCGCAAGTCCCCTCTGTTTCTTGTGCCACCTTTTCGGTGTGTAGCCTGGGATGGCCTGGAATGGTGGCCAGAGGAGGGACCGATGTGGGCAGCCCATCCAGCCTCTCCCTGCTCCCTCTACCAAACAGCCAAACAGAACTTTCCACACTTTCCTCAAACAAGCCCTGCTGTCTGCTGCCTCTGGGCCTTGGCCTACTGTTTCCTCTGTCCCAGTGGTTCTCAGATTGGGGTCTCTGGGCCAGCAGCGTCGCCATCACCTGGAGCTTGTTGGAAATGCGGATTCCCAGGGCTCACCCAGACCTGCTGAATCACAGACTTGGGGATGAGGACGCTGGGGATGGGGCCAGGATCTGGTTCAGCAAGTCTCCGCCATGACTGTGATGCCCCCCTGCTCTTCCTGAAATGTTTTTCCCACCTCATGTCAGCTTCCTAACTTCTACACCCCTTTTACCCAATAAACCCCTCACCCTCTGAGCCTCTTCTGTGAATTCCTCAGTTCACATCTCTGATGGGCGGTGAGCTGGGGGTGTGTATCGTCGCCATCCTGTCCTGAGTACTGACCGGGGCAGACGGTAGGCACACGATAAGTGGCGGTGGAGTTGCATTGACTCGTCACGGCCACGGGAGTGGGGACGTGCGGCCTGGGCCTCACGGAGGGGCGAGGGCGGGGGGCGGGGCTGAGCACACACATCCCGCCCGCAGGTACAGCCTGTACACCCGCACCTGGCTCGGGTACCTCTTCTACCGCCAGCAGCTGCGCAGGGCTCGGAATCGCTACCCCAAGGGCCACTCCAGAACCCAGCCCCGCCTCTTCAACGGTGAGCCCTGGCTGCCCCTGGCCAGCATGGCCCCAGGCTGTGCCCATCCCCCCTCCCTGCCTACCCCCCATCACATACCCCGACTCCTGGGCTCCCTGCCTGGCACCCGCCCAGAGCCCCTCTTTGTCCCCCAGGAGTGAAGGTGCTTCCCATCCCCGTCCTCTCGGACAACTACAGCTACCTCATCATCGACATCCAGGCTCGGCTGGCTGTGGCTGTGGACCCTTCAGACCCTCAGGCTGTGCAGGTGAGGGAGGATGGGGGCTGGGCTCACCTTGGGGACTGGCAGCTTCTCCTCGATAGAGCGGGGCTGACCCTGCTCCCTCTGCCAGTGGGATGTGCGCCCCCCACGTACATTCACACACCAACCCGAGACGCACATGCACACAGAGACCCCCACAACCACAGCATGGGGGAGGGGTCAGTGTCCAGGGCAGGGCTGGAGGCCAGCGGGGGGAGGTGGCGGGCAGCCATGGGAGAACCTTGCAGAGGGAAAGGAGTGCTGCCCCAGGACCGTGGGTCTAGTGAGTCCTCTGTCTCACTCTGTGGCCCCCTTTCTGACCCTCTTTTCCTCACCTCTGTCTGTCAGCATCCAGGTCTCTCCATCTTTCCCTCCCATTTCTTATTTTCTCTGTGTGTGCGTGTGTCTGTCCCCTCACAAGTCTCCTCCCCTCCCATGTGCCCGTGCAGGGTCTCAGCTGCCCCCCCTTTCCCCCACCCTCCACTCCTCACCCTCTAGCTGCATCCCCTCCCTCGCCTCACCCATGCCCCCCCATCTCCCTCTGCATCCTGCTCCTCAGTCTCAGCGCCTCCTCTCCCCGCAGGCTTCCATTGAAAAGGAAGGTGTTACCTTGGTGGCCATTCTCTGCACCCACAAGCACTGGTAAGGGGCTGGGGTGGGGGGTCTGGGTGCAGACGATCTTCCCTGGCTGACCCTTGCCCAGCTGGGCTTGCCAGGCCTGGGCCCCCCGAGGACAGGTGGGGTGGAGGGCCAGGAAGTCAGAATAGGTGGGCACTCATCTTCCTCATGAGGTCCCTGGGACACCAGCAGAGAGGGCAGGTCTCCCACCACTCTGCTTATCAGGCTCCTGAAGCCCGGGAGGAGGGCAGGGCAGGCATTTATCTTTCATTCCAAGGGCATGTATTAGATGCCTGCTGTGTACCAGGCACAGACAGACCCTGTGAGCTCTTCCCTCAGGAGATTATAGTGCAGTAGGGGAGACAGCCCTGCGTGCAAGTGTACGCCAGTGACAGACATTTAGGTGGCAATTGGCATGAGGTACGGGGGGTGGGGGGTGCCGGGTGGGGTGTGATCAGATCCACTTGGAGGAATTAGAGGCCGATGACCCTGGAGCTGAGAGTCCGAAAAGATCAGTTGGCATTGGCCAGGGGATGGAGGGGGCGGGGGGGGCGAGTTGTGGGCATGACATTCTGGGCAAGGGAACAGGCTGAACAAGGCCTGGAGGTGTGGGCAGCTTGGCTGAGTCCAGAAGCCAGGGGCCCCAGGGCTCTAAGGCCTGGAGATGCTGTGGGAAGGGGGAGGGGAGCAGGCGCAGTCCAGTAGCCCCTCAAAGCCCCCACCTCCCAGCCCACTCCCGTCTCTGCATCCTACAGGGACCACAGTGGAGGGAACCGTGACCTCAGCCGGCGGCACCAGGACTGTCGGGTGTACGGGAGCCCTCAGGACGGCATCCCCTACCTCACCCAGTAAGGCCCTGACCGGGGGTGGGGTGGCCCTTCCATGGGCCCTGTCCCTCACCCCCGCCCTTCAGGCGAGTGTTTCCCGGGAATCAGCGGATGGATTTTTGCTGATGCCCTTCCTGGCCCTTAGAGAGCAGGTCCCAGGCCGTCTGAAGAATGGCACTGCCCACCCCAAAGAAGAGGGAGGGTTTGGGCCTGGAGCCCTGGGCGCTGGCGGCGCCTTCTCCCTGGTGTGGAAGCCCCCGCTCCTGCGCATCACCCAGCCCTCGGGCCGAGGGTGGGGCAAGGGTCAGTGTGGCACAAGCTCTAGTACCTTCTGTCCCCTATTGCCTCACTTCTCAGTCCCCTGTGTCATCAAGATGTGGTCAGCGTGGGACGGCTTCAGATCCAGGCTCTGGCCACCCCCGGCCACACACAAGGCCACCTGGTCTACCTGCTGGACGGGGAGCCCTACAAGGGTCCCTCCTGCCTCTTCTCAGGGGACCTGCTCTTCCTCTCTGGCTGTGGTGAGTTCCCCCGAGAGGGAAGAGGGAGGAGCGGGGCCAGGAGGGAGGGAGAGAGGCCAGGACAGGGGCCCAAGGACAGCCACAGCCCCGTGCAGTGCATTGAAGCATCAGTTTCAGCACAGACGTGACCTCGGTCTGTTACTCCCACCAGTCTCACCCCGATTTGTTTATATCCTCGCAACTTCCCACGGGGTGGACAGGATGCGAGGAGGCCTGTAACTGAGCATGGATCTCGCAGGGCATTGGTTTCCACTGGGTGGGGCCTGGTTCTCTGATACAGGGACTGGCAGGACTAGGTTACAAGTGGAGGACCCCCGAGCAAGAGGGGATCTCGTGGGTGGGGAGGAGCGTGAGTCCCGGGTCGCATGGAGTCCCCAAGGGCAGCACAGGCAAAGGAGGAAGGGCTCCGTGGAAAAGAGCGACCCACGTGGACCGTGCTTGGTCCTGAAGGTTCAGCACCCCCTCCACCCACAGGTCAATATTGCAGTGGAGGCCTTCAAACGGGCTTGGTTAAGTGCACGCACTCAGCTGCGGCGGCCTGGGGTTCGCAGGTTCAGGTCCCCGGCATGCACCAGTGCACAGCTTGTCAAGCCATGCGTCCCATATGAAGGAGAGGAAGATGGGCACGGATGTTAGCCCAGGGCCAGTCTTCCTCAGCAAAAAGAGGAGGATTGGCATCGGATGTTAGCTCAGGGCTGATCTTCCTCACAAAAAAACACTCGGGCTTGGGTGGGCAGGTGACTAATTGGGCCCAGCTGCCAGTGGGAAGGAGGGAGGAGAAGCCGGGAGGCGGGCATGCCAGGGGCGTGGCTGAGGGCGGGCGGCCAGCCGCAGCTGTGCAAGCTCGTCCCGCCCCCCTCCGTGTACCTGGTAACGTACTGTGCTGTGTTACCTTATACCTCATAACGTCCCCCCGCGCCCGCACCAGGACGGACCTTTGAGGGCACCGCAGAGACCATGCTGAGCTCGCTGGACACTGTGCTGGGGCTCGGGGACGACACTCTGCTGTGGCCTGGTGAGGGGCCCCTCCCACCTCTCCTCCCAGCCCCTCACTCCCCTGGAGTCCCTGCCGACCCAGCTCCTGGCCCAAAGGCGCCCCAGCTCCACCTCTGATGACTCCTGGGAGCCAACTCAAGCAGTGCGGGCAGACTCCCTTTGTTTTGGGGTGCTGGCTCTGTAACACCTCTGCTGCTCACACCAGCTGCCCCTGCCAGCCAGCCCTCGGCCTCTTGGGAGCCTGCAGGCCCCAGAGCATCCCAAAGAGATGGCGGATTTTTCATAACCAGACCCTAGAACAGAAAGTAGCCTTCACTTATTGGGGGGACGTCAGTAATCCACTCTGCAGGTATCCACTGCATGCATCCATATCCACACACCGCACGTCCCTCTATCCATACATATGTACATTGAATACCCATCCATCCATCCGTACGCACGTGCATTGAATACCCATCCATCCACCCGTACATACATACATATTGAATACCATCCATCCGTATGTACGTACATTGAATACTCATCCATCCATCAGTACGTACATACATTGAATACCCATCCATCCATCCGTACGTACGTATGTTGAATACCCATCCATCCATCCATAGGTACGTGCATTGAATACCCATCCATCCATCCATACATATGTACATTGAATACCCATCCATCCATCCATATGTGTGTATATTGAATACCCATCCATCCGTACGTATGTATGTTGAATACCCATCCATCCATCCATATGTACATGCATTGAATACCCATCCATCCATCCGTACATATGTACATTGAATACCCATCCATCCATCCATATGTGTGTATATTGAATACCCATCCATCCATCCATATATATGTACATTGAATACCCATCCATCCATCTGTACAAATGTACATTGAATACCCCTCCATTCTTCTGTATGTATGTACATTGAACACCCATCCATCCATACATACATACATACGTGGCATGTCCCTACATCCATACGTACATTGTATATCCATAGTTTCTAGAACACATCCATTAGTATCTCAGTTCATCCTCAGACATATACTCACCCATTCATTCATTCAACAGATACTTTATTGAGCACCTAACATGTACCAGACTCTGTTCTAGGCACTGGGGACACATCTGTGTTCTAGTGGTATTATTGTTTTTTCCACTTGCCAAGTGAGAAAACCGAGGCTCAGCGAGGTGCCATGACTTGCCTGAGGTGGCACAGCTGGGCAGGGAGAGAGTTGGGGCTAGAATGCAGGCCTCCTGGCTCCAGGTCTGGTGTTTTCTCCCTGAACTGCTTCTTTCTCCTCACTCCTGGCTGACTGGTGCCCCCAGGTAGAGAAGCAGCTCCGTGGGGTTGGGTGGGAAGCGCCACCCGCCTCCCTGGTCGTCGGCACCCATAGGCCTGGGGTAGGGAGGACTTTTTCTGACCACCCCACCAATCTCTCTCTGCCCTGCGCCTCCGCGCCCGTGGCGGTCCCCAGGTCACGAGTACGCGGAGGAGAACCTGGGCTTCGCAGGCGTGGTGGAACCCGAGAACCTGGCCCGGGAGAAGAAGCTGCAGTGGGTCCAGCGGCAGCGGATGGAGCGCAAGAGCACGGTGCGGGGCTGGGCTCCAGGAGGGGGCCCCTCCCCACCACTCGGATGTGCTTGGTACAGGGGCCTTCGAGTGAGCTCCTGGACGCTGGGACGGGTCGGGATGGGGCTGGGCTGGGAGGGGTCCCTTGTTGGGTCTGTTTTCCAGACTCTTTCCACCAAACGCAGGTGCCTCTCCTCCCACAGTGCCCGTCCACCCTGGGAGAGGAGCGCTCCTACAACCCGTTCCTGAGGACCCACTGCCGGGTGCTGCGGGAGGCTCTGGGGCCAGGCCCGGACCCCACCGGGGACGACGGCTGCTCCCGGGCCCAGCTCCTGGAGAAGCTCCGCCAGCTGAAGGACGTGCACAAGAGCAAGTGACCCCCCAGCACACCCCCCATGGTGGGGAGGCCACCCGTCCTCCACCCCACCCACCCCCTCACTGTTACCACACCACCTCCATCGGCGCCCGCAGGGGCATCACTCCCCGCCTGCGGTGGGGGGAGAGGAGGGCAAGGCCGTGAGACCATGAGACCCGGAGGAGGGGGGCTGGCGAAGGCTCGAAGACTCCGTGGGGTGAGGCTGAGTTACCCAGGGTGAGAGGGAAGGAGGAGCCTTGGGACATCTCCAGACCCGACCAGGAGTGTCCCCTCCTCCCTTCCCCTGTTCCTGCAATGGCAGTGAGGACACGAGGCTGCCCTCAGGCCCTCCCTCAGGAAGCCTCACTCTGTAGCCCCTGACCCCAGGGCAGCAGGAGCCGTGAACTGGTTGAGTCCATCTTCCCCCTTCTCCCCTCCAGGGCTGGGAAACTACTCCCCCAAAGTGGCCTGAGGTGTGGAGCCTTGGCAAGTGGCCACTCAGAGGGGCCTCGGGGCTCTGGTGTACTGAGACACTGCCCCTCCTCCCCACCCCGCCCCCACAAAGGCGTTTCTCAAACAGAGCCGTTTCTGAGAAAGAGGAAAGGGCTGGAAGGCTGGCTGTCTGGACAGGCTCTGCCTCGGTGACTCCCCTGCAGCCTGGAAGAGGGAGAGTCCTGGTTGCCAAGGAAACCTTGACCTCAGGCTGAGGAGACACAGAGGCTGGGAGGCCGGGACCCCAGCCCGACAGTCTTGTAGGTCACACGCGCTCCCTGCACAGCTGGCCTGGTCCTGCCCCTGGCCTCTGCCCCTGCCCAGGGCCAAAAGGGCCCCTCCTTCGCAGGGGAGAGAGCCATCGTCCGCCACGGCTTTTCTCACGCCGGCCCTTATTCTTAGGAACATCTGCCTTTCTCTAACTTCTGCTTTAACCTCAACCCTTTTCCTCTTTTAGTTAAAGAGTCATTCATCTGGCCCTTTGCAGTGTGCCAAGAACATTCCCGTGTCGTTTCTCATTTGGTCCTTGGCCCCATCCTGGCTGGGGGAAGGGGTCCACACAGCAGATGCAAAAATCAGAGGTCCGGGAGCCGAGAGCCCTCACGTGGGTGGCAGCTTCCAGGACTCCAGGCCTGGGCCCTTCCCCTCGCTCAGCCCTCCCTCAGCTCAGCCTCTCCTCTGGTCTCGGGTCCAGGTCCCTTTGGAGCCACAGTGAGGATCCCTGTGCTCCGCAAGCAGGCATACCTTGGGTCAGCCAGGAGCCTTCTCTTCCTGTATTGAAGCCTTCCCTCAGGCTCTGCTCACCTCTGGTGAGCCTCTGAGATGCCCCCTGCCCTCAGTTTCTCCTCATCATCCAGCCTCTGCCTCCCTCTCCAGCCACAGCCTCTGGAACCAACTCTAGCAATACCGCCAGAATAGCGTCCCTGCCCCCATGACACGCAGTTCCATGCCTCTGTGCCTTCGCTCATGCTGTCTCTTCTGCCTGGAATGCCTTTCCCCTGCTCCTCCTGCCTCGTCTGACTGGCAAACACCCATTCATCTCTCACAATCCCTCTCAAAGGCCCCCTCCTCCAGGAAGACCACCCTCCTGCCCCTCCCCTCCAGGCTACCTCTGCTCTTTGTAAATGCTTCTCCTGTGGCACTTCTCACACTGTATTTTACTTGTTTACATGTTCGTCTCCCCTTCTAGACTGTGAACCCTTCAGGGCATGGACTGTATCTTATGCATCTCTATTTTTGCGTCTAGCACGGTGCCTGGCACACAGTAGGCGCTCAATAAATGTTGAATGAATGAATGATTTAACCAAGGCTTGATCACTCAGTGGACTTGTCTTCACTGCTGGTCCTAATTTCCTGTCTGGGTCACAGGTCTGCTGACTTGGAATTACTACCCTTCAAGAGCTTTGGCCAAAATAACGCTATAAATACATCCTTCTGTGGCTCGTGTGCAGGGCTGCACAGGGTTTGTGCAGGGTTTCCAATTTGCTACCTCAGTGTTTTCCAGAGCTTGAGATGGACAGGTGTACGATTGGCCCCAGGGGAGACAGTGCTGCGTGGTCACAGACAGCAGTGAATAGCTCTTGAAGGGTGAGGCCTTGGCTCTAGGCTCTTGAACTAAGAAAGAGCCAGACTCCACTATCTTGAGATAAACTTTAACAACATCATTTTGTTTCCATTGTATTTATCTTTTGGGGTCAATAATTATTTTTGACATGTGACACCAGCTTTCAGTTCATGAAGGTGATTAAAGATGTTTATTGAAATAGGAAAATACGAAGTGAAGGTGACACTTGGCCATGGCAGAACTCTTGAAGGTGACCCTGGTATGGCTGAAAACTGGGAAGCACTGGCTTAGCTCCACATTTCCTCGGAGCCAGCCAGAAGGCCCCCCTTTTCCTACCTCAGCCACAGCTCAGTCTCCCCGCTTAGGTGCCCCTCACGACGAACCAGGGACCTTGGCACTGGCTCTGGCTGTCCTGGGGGTGGGGGTGGGGGTGGGAGGGATGTGGTCCTTGCCTTCCCAAAGAAGGGCAGCTGTCTGTGCTCTGTGATGGTCTCTGGGTCACTGTTGAATGGGCATGCCCCAGGACCTCACTCACTAAGGAACTTCAACCAAAGGGAAAATGTATCAGCTCATGGAATTGAGAAGTGTGGGATTGTGTCATGGTGACTTCAGGCACGGCTGGATCCAGGGATTCAAAGAGCATCGTCATCATTCAGCTCTGCTTTCTTCTCCATTTATTTTTTTTAATTTTTATTTTTTTGTGAGGAAGATCAGCCCTGAGCTAACATCCATGCTAATCCTCCTCTTTTTACTGAGGAAGACTGGCCCTGAGCTAACATCCGTGCTAATCCTCCTGTTTTTTTTTGCTGAGGAAGACCGGCTCTGAGCTAACATCTGTTGCCAATCCTCCTCCTTTATTTTTCCTAAAGCCCCAGTAGATAGTTGTATGTCATAGTTGCACATCTTTCTAGTTGCTGTATGTGGGACGCGGCCTCAGCATGGCCGGAGAAGCGGTGTGTCGGGCGCATGCCAGGGATCCGAACCCGGGCCGCCGGTAGCGAAGCTCACACACTTAACTGCTAAGCCACAGGGCTGGCCCTCTTCTCCATTTATATCATTCTCCGTCAGGCTTTCTCACTGCAGTGGAAAGATCATCTCTAGAAGTTCCAGGCTTAGAGCCTACCGGTTCACCAAACCTATCAGAACCTCCACTAATCCCAAAGATTGAGTTTCATTGGTCCAGCTTGGGTCATGTGCCCAGCCCTGAACCAATCATAGGAGTTAGGGGAATGGACCTCTCTGATTGGCCAGGTTAGGTCACATGACCACACCTGGACACAACTGAAACAGGTACACTGAGCTTGGGAAGGGGGTTCCCCAAAGGAACAGGGGATCCGATGCCAGAAATGATGCGAGGCGGCAAAATCATAAACCCTCACCAACAATTCCACTTACTGGAGGCTGTCAGGAGAGTCTGATGAGGAAGGGCATATGAAGTCACTTTGGGAAATGCTACGTCAGACTCCTGGCGCTATAATTAGTTACAGAGAAGAAAGGGAGGGAGACATATGGCCTCAAACGTGTTTGAATGACACGTAGTTCTAAAAATAACCAGCAGACAGTTCATTTTTTTCCATTGTTTTCCTGAATCACAGGCTGTCTCTTTACGGGAGACAGTAGTAGAAAAGGAGAAAGAGACTGGGGCTAAGTGGGCAGCCTTAGGCGTCCCAGAGAAGGACAGAGAACCGGGGGTGCGGCAGACGTGAATGTGAAGAGCACGTGTGTTCATGTGTGTGTTGGGGGTGGTGTTGGTCCTCCAAGGCCCTGGCCACACATGGAGCCTGTGAAAGCCGGGGGCACCCAACCCTGATGGTCAGGAACCCCAGGCTCGTGAAAGGTGGGACAGGGTGGGGCAGAGAGGACTCGGGGTTGGACTGGTCTGGAGATGAACATAGGTCCTGCCTCTGATTGGGCGTGGTAACACGGGACAGGTGACTTATCACTGAGCCTCATCCCGGAGAGGCTGGGGACCTGGATGAGGGCACAATGGTTCCGTGAACAGCAGCCTCTCTCTCTTCTCACTGTGATTAATACACTCAGGGCTAGTCTGTCAAGGACAGTAGGACAAAGTGGTTAAGACCGTGGACTCTGGATCCAGCCAATCTGGGTGGGAGTCCACACTTTCTGTTTATTAACTGGTGACCCTGTGCAAGCTACTTAACTTCCCGGTGCCTCTGTTTCTCATCTGCCCGATGGCGATGATGCTATCACTGCCTTAGAAGCTGATTGTGAGGATTCAGCGAGCTAATACCTGCAGAGCTCGGCACATAGTGAGCCTTCTCTACGTGGTGGTCGTTCAGTAGATGCCAACCCCAGTGGCTGGGAGGGCACAGGCTGTCCTTGTCACGGGCTCAGAGAGGCCAACCTGCCCAAAACAGTCACCCAGCTAGTACATCAACCCGCTCCAGAGCATCCCTCCACTGGCCTATCATGCCTCAAGGGGGAACAGTAACAAGAGTCCTTAACAGATCTCTTCCAGAAGGTTAAAAAAATAGACAGTGGACTGGATGTTGATCCTCTGTGAGCCACCTTGTCAAACTGCTTTGTCCCCTAGCAGCTGCAGGAAACAGCCAGCGCCAAGGGGGAGGGGATGGGGGTGGTGAGAGGAGAACATGGGCTCCAGGAGGGAGGAGCCTGTGAGGACGGGCAGGTGGAGTCCTAGGCAGCTAGAGGGGCCTGACCAAGGAGAGGACGGGGGAGGGGGAGAACTCCAAAGGGTAGAGCGCTGGGGAGCAAATCTTCCCCTGGGCCCGGAGTCCAGGACAGCAGGGGGTGGCCATAGGGAGAGGAACTACGTGGGCACCCCTTAAAAAGCATCTAGACCACAATTTGCTTTTTTTTTTTAAACACTGTCTTACTAATCAAAAAGATTTTTGTCAAACTTTATGTAATTTACATATGAAAGCAATACGGTTTGCTTTTTAAATTATATTTAAATCCTCTATTTTTTTATTAACTTTATTGAGATATAATTTACATAACACCAAATTCACCCTTTCTAAGTGTACAATTCAGTGGTTTTTACTATATGCAGTTTTTCAACCATCACCACAATCCAATTTTAGAACACTTTCATCATCCCCAAAAGAAACCCTGAGCGCATCTGATGTCAGTCCCCGCCTCCACGCCCCCACCCTGCCCCACACTAGGCAAAAGCTGATCCACTTTCTGTCTCTACCGATTTGCCCGTTCTGGACATTTTGTATAATGGAATCATACAATATGTGGTCTCTCATGACTGGCTTCTTTCACTCAGCATAATGTTTTCAAGGTTCATCCACGCTGTAGCATGTCTCAGTACTTTATTACTTTTATGGCTGAATAATACTCCATTGTGTCTATATACTGTATACCACATTTTGTTTATCCATTCATCAGTTGATGGACAGCTGGGTTGTTTCCACTTTTTGGTTATTATGAAGAATGGTGCTATGAACCTCTGCGTGCAAGCTTGTGTGTGGACAGATGTTTTCAGTTCTCTTGGGTATACACCTGGGAGTAGAATTGCTAAGTCATCTGGTAACTCCACATTTAACTTTTTGAGGAACTAACAAACTACTTCCCAAAGCAGTTGCTAATTTTCTTAATGCCACTGATGGTGGCTCACATGTAGAGAAGCCTTATTCAGAATTCACTTTGGCTTTTAAAAATTAATATTCAACTTCTTGGGGCTGGCCCAGTGGCATAGTGGTTAAGTTAGCGCGCTCCGCTTAGGCAGCTGGCGGTTCTCAGATTTGAATCCCGGGCGTGGACTTACGCACCGTTCATCAAGCTATGCTGTGGCGACATCCCATATACAAAAATGGAGGAAGATGGGCTCAGATGTTAGCTCAGGACCAATCTTCCTCAGCAAAAAGAGGAGGATTGGCAACAGAGGTTAGCTCAGCGCCAGTCTTCCTCCCACATACATAAAAAAAATTAATACTCAATTTCTTAAAAAGCAAATTTTAAAACATAAGCATTTGTAAAATATTTAAGTTTGACTTATTAGTCATATCATCCTAATCATAAATCTAGCAAATGTAATAACTTTTAAGTAATTGGTCCTCTTTTCAAAATTAAAACTGCTTTAGGCAGTTTATACTGTATTTATTCATTCCATCTATTCTATTTCTTTTTTTTTTTTTTTAAAGATTTTATTTATTCAGTTTTTTCCCCCCAAAGCCCCAGTAGATAGTTGTATGTCATAGGTTCACATCCTTCTAGTTGCTGTACGTGGGACTCGGCCTCGCGTTGGACGGAGAAGTGGTGCCTCGGGGCGCTCCCGGGATCCGAACCCGGGCCGCCAGCATCAGAGCGCGCGCACTTAACCGCTAAGCCACGGAGCCGGCCCCATATTCTATTTCTTTTTAAAAGCAATTGATTATGTGTCAGTTATATCTCAATAAAGCTGGAAAAAATTAAGTAAAATAAAAAGAAGTCAATTCTCTAAAAAAATTTTTTAATAAAGCAATTGATTCATAAACCAGCCTCCGAAGTGCTTTTATTGCAATCTAATAAACGTAAACATATAAATATGGTAAATTTTAAGGTTTTTAAAAAATTTTTTGGTCTACTTACAATTCCAGTAAGAACTTAAGTTCTCTGCGCGCTCTGCTGCGGCAGCCCTGGTTCGGTTCCCAGGCGTGGAACCACACCACTGGTCTGTCACTTGCCATGCTGTGGCAGCGGCTCACACAGAAGAACCAGATCTTACAACTAGAGTATACAACTAGGCACTGGGGCTTTGGAGGCGGGGGTGCGCAGGGAAGAGGAAGATTGGCAACAGATGTTAGCTCAGGGCAAAAAAAAAAAAAAAAAGTCTGCTATAATCATTATTTTAAAATAAAAAAATTAAAAGAACTTAACTTCAAAATAGAGTCTAAACCAACTATTCAACTGCCCAATTTAAACTGGACTCTCAAAGCTTATCTTTTAAGTACCTCACTGTGCCAAATTATTTTAAACGTTTCAAGAACTTCAAATACCAAAAATACACAATGTGACACAAAAAAATATTAATACTGTTAGTTCGATCATCTGAAGCAATTCTACACATAATTCTAAATCTTCCCAAAGTTGATCAATAATTATGCAATAAGAAGACATTTAAAGATGATCTTCCCAAGGGATATGGCACAGGTGGGGGGACACCTCCTTAGGTGACTGAGGTTTCACGTCAAGATTCTTCTTTTTTTGTGACCCTATCAGGCTGAGCCCCTTTTTATAGCCACCATGACGCAGTCTCCAACACTTACAAGGTGGGGATCAGAGAGCCCACAGCCTGGGGTTTGAGTCACAGCATAACTCAATTTTCAAGATTAAATGAGATAATATACATGAAGCCCTCTAGAACAGTGCCTGGCCTAGGGTCAGCATGGTTTAAGGTTTGCTGTGATTGTCATTGTTGTCACCATCACTGTTACATGTTAGGACCACAATGTGTAGCTATTCGCGTGACATCTGCTTGGCTGCTATGCATGTGAGGCCATGTCTGACTCAGCGCCGAAACTTCTAAGGTCATTCTAATGGCCCATGTTATCCACCTGCCTCAAGAATGTCAAATGCTCCCTCTGCTAGACAATACCTGAGGCTTAGGGCTGAGCCCAAAACCCACAGTTCCTTACCGTTTCCTCCAAGGTCTGTCTGGCTGTTTAGTGGGTTGATGGCCCTTTAAGAGGCGGTAGCTAGCTCCCAGTTGCCATGGAGACAGCTGGATACAGACCGGGTAGCAGCCAGCAGCATGTCCTCTAAAGTTCAATCCACAGGTGGGAAGGGGACTGCAGGGGCTGGAAAGGGGTGGGGCGTCTTCTCCCCCACCATCCACCATGGGGTGGCCTTGGAGGAGTCCGCTCTTGGGACCCCTGCCCCACCCCGTCCTTCTCCCCAGGGTCTGCCATCTCAGCCTCTCCTCCCTCCATAGGCCCCAGAGCCCAGGAGCACCAGCCTTCAGCCCAGGAGAGTCTGCCACCCCCGGAGGCCAATGCCGACGCCATCCACTTCCTCAGCTCCCTGCGTGAGCCCGGACAGCGCGGGTGGAGGGGGCGGGCACCCGTGCGGAGAGGAGGGAAGAGAGAAGGCCCGGACCCGGCTCTGTCTCTCTCAGCCTTGAGTCTCCTGGGACTCAGAAAGAGCACAGGGCCGATTTGTTGACATTCTTCAAGCGAAGACCCCAGGGGCGTGGGCGGCAGGGTCTTCACCTGCTGGCTGCTGTAGAGACCTGTAGAGGAGGGGAGGCAGGGGCTGCCTGGGAGATGGGGGCTGAGGAGGGGGTGGGTGGAGACCGTGGGGACACTGGTGGCCAGGGGTCAGAGAGTCGAGGCCTCGGACCTAGGGCTTGATCTGTCCCCCGGACCCTCACCCCAGGGCCGGACGAGCTGCAGATGCTGTTCTTCTCCGAGACTCTGGTCATGGTCTCGGACACAGGGGAGCCTCAGGGAGAGCTGACCATTGAGGTGCAGAGAGGGAAATACAGAGACGTCGCGGCGCACTGCCTCCTCGTGCACGCCTTCAGCCGCGGCTTCATGGACAAGATGCTCTGCGGAAACTCCCTGCTGGGTAGAGTTCCCGCTGCCTGAGGCCCCCCACCCCCCA